TTTAAATATATACTTTTTTTAGTTCTACCCATTATTCTATAAAATTCAATTGAAAATAAATTCAATCGAACATCGTATGCGTGTGCCGGTGTGTGCAATCCTTTTTGGAGCAGAGGGTGTATTATTTATTAAAAAAAAACTCTGTAATTTTTTTACTATTACTCGCGCTATACATACTTTTTAGGTTGCGTTCCGTTCGCCTGATCTCATCTGATCTAAGTTTTTGAAGTTTTGATCTGATCTGGTCTGATCTAATCTGATTGGATCTAATTTGATCGGATCTGATATGGTCTGATCTGATGTAAATTAAATTAAAATTGAAATTGAAATGATTATTGTAATAGTTATAATAATAGAAATATTAATAATAATAGTAATAATAATAACAATAGAAATAATAATAATAATAATAGTAATACTAATAATAATAGTAATAAGAAGAGTAATAATAATAATAATAAATATAATAATAATGCTAATAATAATAGTAATAATAATAATAATTGAAATAATAATAATAGAAATAATAATAGTAATTGTAATAATAATATTAGTAACAATGATACTTCTAATAATAGTAATCATAATGATGATAATAGTAATAATAATAGTAATAATAATAATCAGAATAATTATATTCATAATAATTATAATAATAATAGTAATAGTAATAGTAATAATAATAACAATAGTAATAATAATAGTAATACTAATAATAGTGACGGAGGATAAGCACATGTAAGCCTAGTATCGGACTCAAGGTTGGACCCCACCTCCAAGTAAGCTCAGAGAGGACCCAAGGAGGGGACGGACTTAACCTGTAATACCCTAATCCGTCCAGGTCTGTAGTCCCTTTCGGACTAAATTATTAACTTGGTAATCGTCAAGATTTAAAAATATTTCCAAACACTTTTATTCATCAGAAAAATAATATTCATACGAGTAACAGTACGGAGTTCTGAATGTTGCGGAAGCTTTATTAAATCACAAAACATAATTATTTTATGTTCTTTAATTCAAAACCATCACAACCATCCCGACAATCTCGCTTCCGTCTGCCTCCAGGATCACATCACGTCATTCTTTCTATTTACATGCGTGTAGCAAATAAATTATACTACGCGCTCAGCATTGAAGCTGAGTAAGGATATCTAATGCGTCGAACAACTATATAAATTGAATCTCAATTCATAATCAAATCATTTGATATTATGCACATAATGTTCAGTTCAGACATTCAATTATAAATATTCAACATTCAATATTCAACACTCATATTCATATTCATCATTCATCAACAATATCCTTAAACTATTCTTAGTTTAAGGACCAATCTCTTTAATGTTTACCAACTCTTAAATTAATTCTAGTTTAAGGTACTTTTAACCAACTCTTAAAGTATATTCTAGTTTATAGTACTCCTAACCAACTCTTAAGCTATTCTAGTTTAAGGTACAATTTTCAAAAAGGTTTTCCAACTCTTAAACTAGCCTTCGCTTAAGGTACAACCAGAAACCGAACAACGGAATGCTCACTGTTGGATTGGGTGGTATCCCCAAACGAGTGATCTAAGTTTAATTGTGGTTCCCGTACGTACGTTTTTACCTAGGCCACCGAATATTTATATTTATAACCGCAAGGCCTATTCTAAACTGAGGTCTATCTTAGAGGTCTTCTAGATAGTCATTTTTACCCGTGTGTACATTTCTGGTCCATTTTTCGGAAATATCTTTTTTAGTCACCAAACTTCAATTAAACTATATAGAAATGTTTTTCAAGGTTCATAGATCATTTTGGTATCATTAGTTCGTAGTTTTGACAACAATTTCAAAGTTTATGATTCTTAGTTTTTCAATCATGTCAAACACAAAACTCAACCAAACGGCTGTTTATGAACGTAAAAACGATCTACATGAACATTCTAGTCACTAGATATATCTAAGGGCTTACCTCGGGTTTAAACGGAGGTTTTGGAAATTTTTCGACGAAACTTCCGGTGACGATTACTCCCAACTTCGGCGACCTCTCACCAAATTGATAGCACTAATGAAAGCTCCACACTCATAGCTATCTCTCAGAACTTATTTGGAGTGAAATGGTGAAGAAATGGGTGTTAGAATAAGTGCCCTTCACTAGAGGGGGGGTGAATAGTGAGGCACGAGAATGTTTATATATTTTCACGGAATAAAAATCGCAGGGATAAAGTAAAGAGCGGAATAAAAAGGAGTAAAGGGAGCACACCAAGATTTATACTGGTTCACCACAACGTGTGGCTAATCCAGTCTCCCGAGAGACTCTCTCGAGCTACACTACTTCCGTTAAGCTTACGGGTGCTTAACAAACCGTTACAACCTGAGAACTCGAGTCCCACGAGCCTCAACAACACTTGCTCGGAGATACCGCACTCCAAGACTTCAACCCGA